CACCACAAATCAGCCATACTCCAATATTCTGAAAGCTTTTCATCCTTTCCTTACCTTTAAGTCCAGGAAGCCTCAACGTTTCCAGTGCATTCGGGGTGGACTCCCTTTTCCTTCTGCTGTGGCTGACTTTCCAAACAGAGTCATTCCTACCTCCCTGAGCTGCAGCATTAGAGAATCTTTGCTTAATGAACATATTAGGAAATTCCACTTGTGCTAGATCTATGTCTGTTCTATCACTATTTCACACTCTTAATGATAGCATTACATATATTCCTGGATTTCTGTCTGAGTAAGTTAGAGAAGACAAATAGCTCTTTGGAGTGCAGCACACTTACTCATGTGTAACGTTTTGTACCTGAGTTGGGTTTCAGACAAAGAAGGAAAGAGATGTACTGGGACTGAGCCCTCAGTCTTGTCAGCATTGTAGTGTAGAGCTGTGAATTGTTAGCAAATGCCTCTGAGGAGACCGTTAAACAGTGCTGCCTCAGCTCACAAACGTAACTCCTTCCAGGATTGTGGAAAGACGGCCATGATTATGTTTGTCACCTGATGCAGTGCTTAAAAAAAATTACCAAATGGGAAAATGCCATTTTCCATTCGCAGCTCCTTCCCTCCCTTGTGAAACCAGGACCAGATTTCCACCTCCTGAGTCCAGCGTGCAGACATCAGCTTCTGTAGGTACTCTTTTCTGTGTCCATGCCTCTGAGCTGGGATGTGGATAACACTCTCCACATGAAGAAGGTGGAGATGTAGCTCATCTCTATAAAACGTCCATATTTTTTTGCCTGTCGGCAGCCAAAGGAAGGTAAAACAAATAAGAATCTCCTGTCCCAAGTGACTCCAGGGATGCCCGACTTTCTTCCAAGTTGCTATTTTCCTGAAAGGGGCACTAGCTGGCCCCTGGGAGAGGGAATCACCTTGGATAAGGGCCCCATTTTTAAAGGCTTGTTTTCCCTGCTTGGTTGCAGGTGGCACTTCGACTGGAGTTGGAGGTGTCTCTGTCACATGCACAGACTCATATTTCTCTCTGTTCCATTTTCTCAGTTCCCTCAGTCACCCAGTGATCAGTGCTAGAGCCCGGACCTCACCCATGCTTTGAATTTCTCATCTCTATAAGTTGTAACTACCTTGGAACTATTTCTATCTCTCTGTGTGAGCGGGGCTCGGCTCCATGCACAGTCTGAGTGGGGTGTTATCACAAAAGTGACACGTGAGGGATGACGGTGAGGGGAGCTGATTAAGACAGGAAGAATGGCTGCAGTGTCAGCTGAAGACTGGCTTCAGCCTGGAGCCTTCAGATGTCTAGGGCGTACACTGTATTCCGGAACTTGAGCAAGCGGAACCCCTTGGAACGAAGGGGACCCAGCCCGCTCTTCCTCCCATGACATTCACGTCCCGGCCATGGGGATGCTCTTGGGGGATGGGATGACACCTTGAGGGAACTTCCTATTTTCTATGGTGAATTTGTTCACAGAAAAGCAGGGCTGCAAGTTTTTAGCGGCCCAGACTCACAGCAGCAGGGCCTCGGGTGCACTTGCCTGCTGGAGAGAATTTGAACTAGATTCCATGGGGTCTACCTCTTTCCTCAGTCCCACACTCAGGGTCAAGTTGAAGTCTCCAGCCTTAATGTTCAGATCAAAAAATCACCTTCCCTCCCCTGTGTGTCTTGCTTCCTCATTTGACTTCTCAAAGTGGTGTTAGAGTTGCCATTCTAAAACTCCAGTCTAAGGACATCTAATCCCCTCACCTGTAGCACTTAATACACTTACGCTGTTTCCCCTGTCATCCCAGTCATTAAGTTTTAACGTGATCATTGGACCTTTGCAGCTCTTGGCTGTTTCTGCTGCTCCAGTCTCATGTTTACACGTCACCCTCACACTAACTTCGTGTCCAGCATGGGGCCTGGCACTCAGTGGGATTTCAGTACATGATCACCAAATGAAAGATGGATCAACAGCCACAGCCCTGGTGAACTGGAAAAGAAATGCAGTTCCAGGACTTTGTGGTCTTTTCCCTGTCCTAGGGACACTTGTCCAACCTCAGGCCTGCCTGCTCCACTGAGCCCTTTGTATCTCACAGGTGCCAGCTTTCATTTCTTTTTATCTCTAAGACCTTCTTAGTGATTTAAGACTAAATCACTAAGATGATTTAGTGTCATCTCCTAAATCTTTGTTGTACGTCCCTCCATGAGGTGTTCCTGGAACTTTGTCCATCACGGCATACACAACTCCAGTAATAATTTCCTACGCCCCCTTGGGAGATGCTCAGTCTGTGGGCTGAGCATGAACAACTCTGGTGTCTAGTCGCTGCTATGCCCCAAGAAATTGCCAGTGATCCTTGGCCAAAACCCATACGTGTATTGATGATGGAAATAATTGAATGATAATTATTTAATCCAAAAGTTGTTTTGTATCTAGAGTTTTGCAATTTTACAAGCAACTTTTAATAAAGAAATGAGGCCAAAAATTAACAGAAAATTCTGACATCAACAGACCATATTCATAGAATAATAATGCTTCCCCAAAGCCTCAGAGGAGCCCTCATTTCTTAAAGGGCCATATTAAATTCTCTTTAAGACTTAAAACATACTCGTAGCTGTGAACTCTGTAACAACGACAAACAATTTACAGAATCTCAAGGTGCAATGGCACGGGGTAAACACCCTCAACCCTAAAGGAAAGAAGGAGATGGAAGGAGTCAGAGCAAAGCAAGACTGACACCTAATGTGGCAAACTTTAAGCCCTGCAGCTCTTTATGCAGCCCGCAAGGCACATGGTAATAAATAGGAGTTGCAGAGCTCACCTTACTGTTGGTTGCAGCCTGCTGGCATTTCTCTTGGGTTCACTCTGATCATGCCCTGTGGATTTTCTCTGCAGATATTCACTTTCCTGGCATCTCTAACTTTGGAGTGCATTGTGCCTTTGATTTCCTTACCATAGATTCAGACTCTGACTCCTCAGGGAAATAAATGACCATCAACTTCACATGTAAAATCACAAGGGGTGCTAATGAACATTTTTAGATATTATGGACAGATAATCAACTACCATATATAATGCCCCCAGCAAAATTCTTATCCTGAAAATAATAATGACCATATCAGATTATTCATTCCTTCACTGCCTCTAGTGATCATGGGAATAAAGAATAAGGCTTGAAAAATTAGTCATACTGAGTTCTCACTCAGCACAGTATATACATTGAGGAAATTCCCTACTGTCAGGGTTTTTACAGAATAAAATGAGCATAACAGCAGGGCTTTCCTTTCTTGAGTTATATAGGCATTAATTCTTAATAGTAATATATTTTATTATTTAGTTTTTTTATTTTATTAAAAAAGCAAGATAAAATTTTATAGCAAAATAATAGGAGAATAACAATAGTTAATGGATTCTTATTAGCTTTAAAGTAGTTAATCAGTGCACAAAATACATGCAATACATTAATTATTTTAACTCTCCCCCTAACCTGTTCTGAAACTGTTTTATTGTAATTTTTACTTTTTCTCCCTAAAATAAAATTTTAAAAATGGGCTTATAAGATTCTCCAAACCATATTAGCACAAACCTTTCTTTTCAGTGAACTAAGAGGAACTCTTTGTATAATTACTTACTTTATTTTTAGTAGAAGGAATGCCTATAAATCTACTGACATAGGGCTGGGGATTTAACTCAGCAGCACAGGACCTGCCTGGCAAGTGCAAGGTCATGAGTTTGATTCCTGGTACTAGGAAAAAAACAAACCAAACCAAACCAAACCAAACAAAACAAAACAAAACAAAACAAAACAAATAATCTATCGACATAGATGAAGGCAGCAAAACTAAGCTGTGACTGGGTGGAATAGTCCAAATATGCAAAGAGTGGTCCTGGGTTACATTATCTAACTTTTATTCTGCACCAAAAATGCAAAATCTATGAATGAGAATATGTTTCTATATGACCTGTAGATATCTTTTTGTGAGAGCAATAAAAAATTGTCCTTTCGACCCTTCTATCTTTAAAATTAATGCTGGGTTCCAGAGACATTTATTTGTCACCTGATAGAACTCACCTACCAAAAGAATTCCTAATAACATTTTTCATCTGAACATTTCTTAGAGTATAGATCAGAGGATTAAACACGGGAGTCATCACGGTGTAGAAATCGGCAGCTGCTTTATCAATGGGGAGAGTCGTTGCAGGTCTCACACAAACGCGCAAGGCGCAAAGAACAAGACAAACATTGTGATGTGGGAGGCACAGGTGGAGAGGGCTTTCTGCCTTCCCGCCACACTGTGGGTCTTTAAGGAGAAGAGAATGAACACGTAGGAGTCCAGGAGAAACAGGAAATTTAACAGACAGATGAAGCCACCGTTGGCAGCAACGGAGAAACCCGAGTGCGGGTATCAGGGTGGGACAGCTTGGGCAGAGGGTTCTGACCACACATAAAGTGATCTATGACACTCGGGCCACAGAAAGGAAGTGGCAAGAAGAGGATCTGAATGCTTCCGTGAAGAAAGCCTCCCACCCACGACACTCCCACTAGCAGGCTGCACACTCTCCAGTTCGTGATGGTTGTGTAGTGCAGTGGCTTGCAGATGGCCACATAGAGGTAATAGGCCATCACAGTCAGCAGGACGACCTCAGCACCACCCATGAAATGTTCTGCAAAGACTTGAGCCATGCATGAATTGAAGAGGCTGGTCTTCTTTGCATGCAGTGAATCAGTAATCAGTTTCGAGGTATTCACTGAGGAGCAGCAGGCATCGATAAAAGAGAGATGGGCCAAGAAAAAGCACATGGGGGACTTCCGTAAGGCGCTGACAATGAGGGTGACAAGGATGAGGTTCCCAGTTGGAGTGAAAGTCTGGTCTCAAAGGGAACAGAGAATTGTCTGACACCCCCTACTGATGCTTTCTATACAAAACCATGTTGACTTCCTGAAAGGACATTAAATGAAGCATGTTCTCAATAACTATTGACTTTTTTGCACTTTATTTTTTATAAATGGAATATTTTTTTCTCATGAGAAATTACCATCAATTTCTTCCATGTTTTCCTCATGGCATTTTTTACTTCCTTATTCCTAAAAGTATAAATCAAAGGATTCAGCAAAGGAGGCAGCATGCAGTAAAAGAGCGCCACCATTTTCTCAAAGGAGAAGGCAGATGGAGGTCGTGTATATACAAAGATGCAGGGGACAAAGAATAAAACTACAACAGCAATGTGGGACCCACAGGTGGACAGAGCCTTCCTCTGCCCTTCAGAACTGTGCTTCCTCAGAGAGAACAAGATGACACCGTAGGAAACAAGCAACAGGGAGAAGATGATAATGCAGATGGACCCACTGTTGGCAATTGCCAAAAAGCCAAAGATGTGCGTGTCAGTGCAGGCAAGCTTCAGTAATGGGTACAGGTCACATATGAAATGGTCAATGACATTGGGGCCACAAAAGGGAAGCTGGAAAGTACAAAGAACTTGGGTGACAGAATGCAGGAAGCCCCCCGTCCAGGCTACACCCATCAGAGCATGACATTGCCTCCTGTTCATGATGGAAGAGTAGTGCAAGGGCTTGCAGATGGCCACGTAGCGGTCATAGGCCATGGCTGTGAGCACAATCACCTCCACCCCAGCAAAGAAGTGTCCAGCAAAGAGCTGCACCATGCAGCCTTCAAAGGAGATAGTGTTCCTTCCATAGAGGGAGTCAGCAATCACCTTCGGTATGATGACAGAAGAGACACATGCATCCAGGAAGGACAGGAAAGTCAAGAAGTAGTACATGGGGCATTCCAGCAGAGCAGGGCTGCAGACAACGGTCCCCACAATTAGCATGTTGCCCCAGATGGTTGCAATGTAGACAAACAAAAATATAACAAATACTACTTTCTGAATTTTTGGATTCTGTGAAAGTCCCAGGAGTACAAATTCAGTTACAAAGCTCTGATTTTGCATGACTTCCAAAGTAAAATAAAGAAGTCTAAATCCTGACTGTGTAATTTTCGTAGTATGACAGCAATTTACTTCAAGCAAATGTATAGTACTCTAGTCCCCCTCATTCAAACTCATGGTAACTGCATTTACTTGCATTGAGCACACATAACTAGAAATTTGGAAAAGGAGTGTTTACAATCCAGGCAGAATTGAAGTGTAAATAACTCACTGAATACTTTAGAATAGGCAGTGGTTTAATACGGAGAGAAGTTAATATGTCCACCTATAGATCCACATGATAAGGAAGAGAAACGGCTTCTAGTTCAAATGTCAGCTTGAGCCAGCGGCTTCCTGGAGTGAATTATTGAGAAGCATTCTGAAAATAAAACAAAGATACAGAAACCAAAAGAATGTAATTCATTAATCTTGCATGCCACTGACATCAAACAGTGAAGGCGAGCATGCCATGCTTTATCTAGAGACAGCCTAATCAACAAACAGAAGAAAATAATGCAGCTCAAGAGGTGACTGAAAACCATCAACTGTAGAAATCCTAACCTGAATGGGTCTTCAAATGAATTAATTCATTCTTTGCTAAGGAGAAACCATGGAGACATCTCTAAATGCATCCCACCCACCAACTTTGAATGGTGCTGAGGTTATTTTTTATTCACCATTTAAACATTAGAATAGTAATTCATAAAAATAATACTGTGTAACAATAATGTGTACTTCTGATTTTTCAACTGGTCACTAAGAGAAATAATGTAGGTAAGTACTTGTCAGGGCTTAATTTCTAGAAGCAGTGTATATTAGCTCTGTGACTCTACTCTGCTGATGGGATATTCATGCTCAAATATATCAAGGTTAAGTTCAGTTAAGTTGTTGAACAGATATGTGATTCAGTTTGTGACCTGGGAATTCTGTTCTCAGATTCAAGTTGTTTGAACCTTATGAACAGGAAAAGAGTGGAATTCTTCATTTCTAGCAAGAAACTTCCTGAAGTGGTGACCCTGTTTGAGGCTCCATACACCTGTAAGGAGTAAAGACATTGATTTGTGAATGTGTAAGACATCTCAATGAATTTTGTTTTGAAATTCTGTATCTTTTTTATTCTTTTTAAAATAAAAACGTATGGGAAGTGATCACCCCGTCCTCTACATGAGGATTTGGCAACAACCATGTAGATAAGGAAGAAAAACAACTTATTTTATATCAGCCAGAGTTTTGAGGTTTTACTATTCATTTGCCAACTACTCAAATGATGTGACCTCGTCGGATGGAGTGTCTCTCCTCAAGGTGTGTGTTTCACGTTTATACAACTTGCTTGTAAAGCGGAGGTGTTCATATATGTAGTACCTGCTCATGTCCCAGGACTATGATGAAGGCTGCATTTGAAAATGTAAAACTGATGCTCGTGATAAAGTGTCCTCATTCCCTCACCTTACAAATCATCCTCTTTACTCACAGAGGCTTTTGTGTAAGTCATCCAGCGATTATCCTTAAATTCATGGTGTCACTTTCCACAGATAGACAGGGCTGCATAGGAAGGTTCTATCCGCACCTATAACATTGAAACAGCATTTATGTTATGTGTATATAAGTGCATAAAACTATTATATATGCATATATGTGCATATATTTGTTAAAATAGAAGAATCAAATATGAAATGGTTTATTAAAAGAATTAAAATACCCTGATTTTATGCTCACCACTTAGAGTGAACTGTCAAATTACTTTAATTTTAATGAAATTAATAAATATACACTTGTGTACAACACATATCTGTGCTTTGTTTACTGCCAAGCATTCCTTTCCATTGTACTGTCAGGTTATTCCAAACCCGTGTATACGCTCTGAACACCATGTGCACTCACAAGCCATCAGCAAGAACATAAGAGTGTACAAGGAATTCCAAAACGTCACTGAATCTGTCATTGACCATCTTGTCTAGTGTAAAGAAGAACAGCACTGTGTGTTATCCCGTGGTTTTCAGCTGAGCCTAGGGCTGCAGGAAGGAACACAGGGAGAAATCAGGGAGCCCACAGGCTCCCGCTCTTGCTTCAGATGCTTCACTGTCAAAGAAACTAAACTGAGTGAGAGGTGAGAGGAAGGCACTGTTCTGTCATCATCTAAAAATCAGAAAAGTCATCCCTCCTCTTCTTTTCTCATGTCCTCAGAGCAATGCCACTGTATAACTGAATATTTTGCACATAAAAGAGCCCCCCCCTCTTCATTCAAACAAAAGGAATTTCCAAAATTACTGTCAGAGCTTTGCCAGTGGAGAGTCTAGGGTGTCCGTGGTGCATGACTGCAATATTCAGGGTTTTAAATCATTTAAATGTAATTGACACACATCCGATGTGTTTTCTTGGATTGAATCCTACATCAGAAAAAGGAAAGCGGTGATGAATTGGTGGAATCTGAATGAAATAAATCTGGAGCATTATGTATCAATATTCACTTACAGTCTTGAAGAACATACCTATAACAATGGAAGACGGTACTAACACAGGAAATGAAGTGCGTAGTACCAGGAACTTCCCATACTATCTTTGCAACTTTTCCGTTAGTCTAAATTTACTCCAAATGCAAAGTGACATAGAAAAAATATTATTCAGTTTCAGCTCTCAAAAATCCACCAATTCCAAGATTAGCATATAATAACCATGTTATGGGGCAAAGAACCACGCCTCATCAGGCTGACAGTGAGGGTCAAGGAGAATAATACCAACATGTTTTCACAGAAGAAACCAAAACGAACACACAAAATATCACCTAAAGCACCATTTACACAAACATTGTGAAGTGGAAACGTGATACATGACATTAATGTGTCTAATTGAAATCATGCCTTTAAAAAAATATCCCCACTCCACATTCTACTGAAATTGTATCACCCATGGAAAACTTGAAAAAGGCTAATTTATTATTTTCCATAATTATACATACGTTTGTACTCCATATCATTAACCCCAGCCCTGAAACTGTATTGCAAAAGCGAACTGCTGTGGAATATTTCATATGTGAAGATTTTACACTGTCATATGTACTAGTAAATAGTCTAAAATATTCAAAAATAGAAAGATGCTATTATAAATAAGAATTTTACAGACTATATCACTACTGTTATGAAGAAAACATTACTATTATGAGGATTTAGAAAATGAACCACTTGCATTTTGTTATGTGAGAAAAACTGAAACATAGTACTAATAACGCTCCCTACTGGTTTGCATCTTTAAATAGGATTTTAAAGTGTAAGAGAGAATATATAAAATGATTACAAATAGAAATTTGTAATATATAATATATATATGTTATTGTTTTAAGAGTATTTAGAATTGCACATGAATTTAAAGCACAGGACCCAATTGTCCATTCTCTAAAGTTCAGGAAAGGGATGTGAAGTTGGAGGGAATCTCTTTCATAGGTGGACAAGGCCAGCAAGTCACAGAATCTGATATTCTCCATCTAGCCAGGTGTGTGGTGCACATCTGCAATCCCAGCTCCCTAGGAGGCAGAGAGAAGAGCACAGCAAGCTGCAGCCCACTCTGGGCTATGGAGCAACTCAGCACCTTCGTGAAGCTCAGTCTCAAAATAAAAATAAAAAAGGCTAGGATGGAGCTCAGCATGAAGGTCCTGGTGTCAGCTCCTAGCACTGATGAAATAAATAAATAAACTACTGCGAACTGTCCAGTAATAGCCATAACTTGGACGTGCCTCTCCTCATCTGCCATGCTTTTACTTTGACATCAATTTGAAATTCTCGTTCTTCCATAGAAAGCAGCTGATTCTGTCTACTCTGAGAGCCATTGGCCACAATACTCGGGGTTGCGCTGTTTCTCAGGTTCTGCTCCACAAGGGGTCACGGGCACTGGATCATCCGGGGATGCGATCTTCAGAGATTTTTCTCCCTGGGCCCCAGTCCTCATACTGCCCAGTGTTCCTATCCTATTAGTTTGAGCAATAAAATTACTTCCAGTACCTTTCATTCTGAAAAGAAAGGGATTTTCTTTTCAAATTTAAAATAAATATATATATTTATAATATTTAATCCTACAAAAAGATTAGTAGGGTTGTCATTTTAAGTAACATTTTGTAACTATATTTAATCAACAAAATGTATGCATGTGTGCCTATTATTCACATTTGCATCTGTTTTTCTGAATGAATGTTATAATCCTCAATAAAAATGATAAAATCCTTCTTGCAATTACCCTCACAGGTTTCTTAAATACACCATAATTTGCATCTGATATTGTTATGCTGTGATAAACACTTATTGTATTTTTTTTTCCAGTACTGGGAATCGAACTCACGACCTTGGGCTTGCCGGGCAGGTGCTGTGCCACTGAGCTAAACCCCCAGCCCCAATAAACACTTATTAATTCTTTAATTTTCACAGAGCACATTCCTTTTCCAGACAACCTGGAGATATTTTCTGCTCAGATTTCAAATCATTTTTCACCACTCAATATCCACTAATATTATGCATTAGATTAGATAGTCCAATCTCTAAGATAGATAGATTGATAGGTGATCAATAGATAGAACATAAATAGATAGATAATAAATTCTAGAATTTGAAAAAAGGCTTTTTCTCTTTTCTACTGTTGTCCTTCTTGATGAATGCCTCAGCCTTTTCTTTCCTGCTATCTCAATAATTTAACTTATTTTAAGAGATAAAGACACTTAAATTCTCCTAAACGGTTATGAGGAAGGAATCTGAGGCTATTTATAACATGAAACGCACATAGGGAAAATTGAATACAGTTATGATCAGGTGTCTCTTTTCTGTGTCCTGAGTCACTATTCAGTATCTTGCAATTTTCTAATATTTCTTTTATGAGTGTACTATTATGCAAACAAAAAATAAAAATAATATGATGTTTTATAAATCAAAAAATATTACTTGATGAATAACTCTGCAACTGGCACTCCAGTTCTTATGCTCATCATGCTAATACACCGCTGTTCAGACACAATGTCACAAAATGCTTTTCCGTAACTGCATTCGTGGAAATGC